GACCATGTAAAATGACCAAATTGCCCTCATTCAAGAAATCCCTTCTTCCAAATTTTCCATCTTCCCATTCATTCCCTGTGAGCCCTTCTTCCCCGTCGTCCATCAAGCCGCCACAACCTACAGCCGGGCTCATCACCATCCCGCTATCACCCTTATCCGAGCCATCCACAACCGCAATCTATTACCCTCCTTGAGTCACATATGGTCTATTTGATTATTAGAAACAAAGCCCCAATATTTCAATTAGTGTAATGTAGAATTATCAAGTCAATTTGAAGATAGATGGAGCTAGGGTTTGGGAAGAAAAAAAATTGCAGAAAAGATAATAAGGGTGGTGCGTAGTGTGTGCAAGATAACCACCAACATCTGGTAGTATAGTCCCATCTTCAAGAATCCCACCCTCACCTCCCACTCCAACCGGAATGTCGTCCCAGTCCATCATGTAAAGAATGTCATAAATTTGATTAATAGCATGCCCAGCATCAGTCCATGCATTAGTGTTAATAGTTATTACCTACACCAAGTTAAGTTAATGTATATATATAAGAGTCTGAATTATATCACCAGTGTTGTGCATATAATCAAGAGCTATCAGTTACAAGTGAATATCACTAGAGCTTGTTTCAGTAAACTATATCAAAAAAGAAAAAGAATTAGGAAGCATGATCTCCAAATGTATATATAGTATATCTAAAGTACCAAAAACAATTAAAGTTTGCTTGGAGTATACTTGTCGTTGTTTGCTTGGAGCATTGAGAGGTTGCTTGAACTCCATCTTTTCCGGCGTATTCTATTCTTGCCGTTGTTTGCTTGGCGCATAGAGAGGTTAAAGAGATAGAGTACAGGGTTTGAGAGAGCTCGCTGCCATCATCTGCAAGCTCACAGCCAAAGCCATTCACAGCCAGCCCATCTCCACGTCGGGGTTCACAAGCCGCCGTCCCCAAAACCGGATCCGTCTCGCCGGGCATTGCCACAGTTCATCTACAGCCGTAATCGCAGCCGCCGTGAATCATCCATGGCAATTCAGTTCTACCGCCGTTCCAAGCCGAACCAGCCCGTCGCCCACGCCCAGCTGTCTGCCGTCCCCATCTCCCCACCATCCGAAGCGGCTGCCATAAAAACCAAGCTCGCAGTCGCCTCCATCAAAACCGATCTTCTTCTTTACGACCTACTCTTCCACGGTCGTCGCCTTCTCCATAACCGCAAGCCGCCTTCGCCATCATCCACGGCCTAGTCCACCGCCGCTGCCATCTCGTCGCGAACCAGACCATCACAGTTGAGTCTTCCCCATAGCCCATCGCCGACACCACCTTGCTCGAACCAGCCCGTCCTCACCGTCCGAGCTTTTCACCGTTTGTGCATTTTGGGTGGATAGCTATGGAGCACATTTTTTTTTTTGTCAAATATTTATTCATAAGGCTGTGTTTGGTCAAGAAGGACGGAAAGAGAAACGACAGAGAGAGAGAGATGAGATGAGAGGGTAGTTTAGTCATTTTATGTGAGGATTAAAATATATCTTAGGGCATATTAGATATTTTATGTCACTTAAGGCTGTGTTTGGCTCTGTTTTTTTAAAATGGGGTGTCATTGTTCAAGTTTGCAAACTTAGGGGATGTCTTTGTTCAAAAAGGGATTAAGTTATATATGACTGTCAATATGGCAAACCTCAGGGGGTATCGTTGTAATTAACCCTAAAATAATAAATAGAGAATGAGATAATTGGGTTCTACATCATAGAACATATGGATTAAAAAAAATAAAGTACCACATCATCACTTTTTAACTTACGTGGTACTCTACTTTTTAAAAAATAGATAGATAACTCGGGTTGCCCACACCTCTTGCTCTAACTATAGACAAATTAAAACATACACACAACTGAAGCATTTTTCCTCACCGAGACAAGGATATTCGGACAAATCTTCTAGGAACGATGCACAATATTTTTTACCCGAACAGCTTAGATACTGCATGCATCACAACAAAGACAATCAAGCAACAGTTGTAAACAGTAAAAATACTTTTGTAATTGCAGGGATTGAATTTAAATAGCAATAAAATTATTGATGGAGCAAATATACCTTTCGATAAAGGGGGGCAACAACAAGACCCGAGCCTCCGTCCATGTGCCAACTACGTACGATAACGACTACGATCAGTAGATTTTAATTCGTTATGGTTTTTAATGGCATTACTAATGCCGTTGGCAACATAGGTAATAATAATAATCCGAAGAAGGTTTGAGTCAGCTGCAAAAGAAATTAGGTGTGATTGAGAGATCAAGTAGCGTATTAATTGACATTATTTATTTTAATATTAGAAACTATAACCACGCTTAAAAGAGGATTATAGATATTAGCATGGATAAAGAGGGTTGCGTCAAATGATTTACCAAACGTCCTTCCTGCAAGAGATATTCAAAATAATATCAGAATCAAAGGAAAATATTTATAAAAAAAAAACTTAAAAAAAAACTACACAATTAAATCAACTCATATCAAAATATGATGCATGAGCATATCAACTCATTACTTGCCTCTAGCTGCAGGTAAAGAGCCGAATTCAAATGGAGGTAGTGAGCACAATGCATAACAATTAAGAAACGAGACAATATTATTATTATTATTATTATTATAAACTTTTTCCGGAGTATTGTCCAAGAAAGTTGGATTAACTTGTAAAAAAAGTAAACAAAGGAAGGAAATAACGGATATGAGATTTTGGAAACTTCATTTTCTTTATATATTTAGAATTTAATTCGTAATTTATATAATATAGTTAATTGCAAATTACTACCCAAAACTATGAAATCTTTTGCAAAATGCCCCTTCGTCTAGTTGCTGTAGCTGTAGGAAAATTGGCAAAAGAAAACCCAATTTTACATGTTTAAAGGAATTCCCAATACTATATGACCCTTATTTTTACAAAGCAAAATAAAATCAAATAAAATTAGTGTCAAACTCATTTTTTTGTTAGATTAGACAAGTTTAAAGGAATTCTATGATATCTCCTCCCATCTCCTCCTTTAAATTTAAATAATTATTCTCTCTGTACCTCCATTAAATCACTCTCTGAATTCAAATAATTATTTAATTCAACACTCTGATCCTACATATATATTCATTCAATAATTACTCCTACATGATGATGAGAAAGACTTCCCTACATATGTTTGGGTCATGGAAATGAGATTAGGGTTAACTTCTAAGGGTACATGGGTTTGGGTCATGGAGAAGGTAATAGGCTTAGATTGCACTTTTAAAAACGTTAGGCCATGAATTGTGTTGGGCTGAAATTTCTAAAAATGTAAAGGATGGTTTTTATATAGTTAAGTGGGCCTGGGTTTACCTAATATTACATGGGCTAAAAGAAGTGTATGTTACATGCGTATATGTAGTTTTCTAAGTCTAAAGTAAATAATGGTAGTAAAGGGGACCATAATAACGTTCACGATAGATTAATTTTTTCTATTTACTTTTTTATTGCTAGAACTAATTATGTGGTTCCCATTTGTTTTAGGATTCCCTAATATCATATGACAGGAGAAAGTTCTCATTTTTACTATCTGTTTATGTTCACGGAACATTCCATTAACACACACACAGAAACAACTTCGGATGGGGGACAAAAATAAAAATAAAAATAAAATAACTAATTCAAAAACGATAGTATGTATTTACCGAAGACGAAAATGAGACATTTTTGGTTTGGAAGATTATTAAATTTTACTCACAATCTTTTTTTTTATAATTTACTTGAGATGGGGTAAAAGAATTTTGTATTATTATTTTATAAAATTAAATAATCTTGTTTTTCCATTCTTTTATCAAATTTTTAGTCAAATTACGTGTTATTGTAATGTTTCTTACAAACCCTACCCCTTTTGGTTTTAGTCGCCTGACAATTAGTCACTCTTCCTAAAGGACGCATTTAGTATATATATTTATATATTTTCGTTTCATATTACCGGTATCAATTTTTCGATAAATTTTTGAAATGTCAAGCTTTGACTTTCTGATAGATTAATTGTTTGACTCTTTGACGGGTTTCCCCAAACAATTAGTCAAACCACGTGCTATTGTAATGTTTCTTACAAACTCTCTGATAGATTAATTTTTCGGGTTAATGTCTTTGGTAGATTTTGGAGTGTAGAGTTTTGACTCTCTGCGTCTATTAATTTAATTTTTAACCCTTCTTGTCTTGTACAAAATAATAATAATAATAATAATATCAATTTCTCTAACTTCAGGCAACTAAGTAAAAGGATAATACAAACAAATAATAATAATAATAATCATAATAATAATAATTCCTATGGGGCATTTAATAAAATATATAAATAGTAATACAAATTTAAAAAAAATAAAAAACAAAACAAAACAAAAAAAATTCCAGTGAGGGCAAATGCCCCCATAGGAATTATTATACATGGCCTTAATACACGATACTATATTAAAGTAAACTTATTAACGGATCAAATTGATCAAATTTATATTCGATTTGTTAAACTAACGGATTTTCGGATTCATTTATTGTTTAGTTTGGATTCGGATCGAATCAAATTTAGATCCAAATTCAAATTCAAATTCACGAACATGTATGGTTTTAAAGTTAAATGGACTATAGAATTGTTAATATATAAGATAATGAATAATATAACTATAAAATCAAATGAATATAGTGATAAATAATTAATATATATTAATTTAATAATAGATAACTAATATATATAACATTCATATCTATGTAGTATATTATAATGTAAAAAATAAATATATATATATATATACACACATACATATATAATTTTAATTACATTATTATTGGATTGGATTAAATAAATTCATATCCAGTAATTATTGAAATTTTTTCAATCCATATTCAAACAATTGGATGGGATTCGATCGAAGTGTACGTCCAGAAATTAGTATACTAAAAATGTAAATTGAGTAGTAGTAGTGGTTTTAATCACCCGCCTGTGAACTAGACAAATCTCACCCGAGTCACCTGATTCTACAAACACCGTACACACGTGTATTCTCGATTGGGTTTCTCTCACAGCCAAACTCTCTCTCTAGACACAGTTTGCATTTCCTCACACAACCGGAGAATCTGAGAAGAGAAGACGAAGGAAGATGACGGAGGCTATGGTAAGGAATAAGCCGGGGATGGCGAGCGTGAAGGAGATGCCAATCCTCCAGGACGGTCCGCCGCCGGGCGGTTTTCCTCCGGTCCGGTTCGCTCGCCGGATCCCTAATACGGGTCCGAGTGCCGTCGCAATTTTTCTCACTGCTTTTGGGGCTTTCACTTGGGGCATGTACCAGGTCGGCAAAGGCAACAAAGTCCGAAGGTCAGATTTTCTCCATCATCGTCTTCATGATTCAATACGTATCTCTCTCGATATATCTCTACATCTTGTGGGTCTCGATGTGGAAAATTCTTTGATTTTTGTCATGTTGAAGATGATGATTATTTATGATTGAATTTTACTGATTTTTTTCCAAAAGAAATTAAAAAGTTAAACATGTGGAAAAATGAAAATCTTGAAGGTGTTTATTGATTTGAACTTGAGTGTCGAATTGGGTTCTCATGTTTTTGCATCAGTTATGAATATATTGATGAATGCTCTGGTGATGGTGCCTGCATGTTTTCATCTGAAATTGGGAAAATATAGGCTCTAAATTTAGAATGTTGGGCTCAAATTTTTGGAGCCTCAGCTTGTCATCTATATACTTGTAAGGATGGAGCGATTGAGTGGTAGATCTTTAGGATTCAGGTGTGCAGGTTGTGAGTGCAAGAAGGATATTAGATTCAGGTGTGCAGGTTGTGAGTGCAAGAAGGATATTATGACTTTTATATTATATGATAAGATTATAAAACCCACTATGGTTATGGATGACGTGAGAAGACACATCCATTATGAGATTGTGTGGTGTTTGTTATTTGTCGTTGATATTATTTTAGTTGATGACACTAGAGAAGGAGTTAATGCCAAATTGGAGGTTTGGAGAGAAGTTTTAAAACTAAAAGGGTTTAAGATAAGTCAAAATAAAACTGAATACATGTAATGTAATTTTAGTAAATCCAGAAAGACAAATGAGGAGGATTGAGAATCAAGATGTACATAAACTGAATTTTTTTGTTATTTAGGCTCAATGATTCATAATGAGGGAGAAATTGGAGATGACCGTTAATCATGTAATCAGGAGGCGCGAATCTAGGATATTGTGTGATAGGCGTATCCCCTTACAACTGGAAGGGGAGCTCTATCAAACAACTATCAGACGAGTCATACTTTATGGTATCAAATGATGGGTAGCTAGGAAACAACATTTGCATAATGCCAGTGTGGCAAAATTGCGAATGTTGAGATGGATGTGCAATCTGACTAGAAATGATAGAATTTAAAAATAAAATAAAAAATCACATTTGGGAGATGGTTGTAGTAGCACCAATTAGAGATAAAATGAGAGAAAATCGGTTAAGATGGTTTTGACATGTGCAAAGAAGACTTTTAAGTGGTCCGGTTAGAAAAAGTGAAATAGTCCACACATAGGGTAATACTAGGGGAGGAAGACAAAAGTTAACATGGGTAGAGTTGGTAAAAAAGATATGATAGAATGTGGATTGGTTGAGGTTATGTCCTTAAATAGAGTGGAATGGAAACATAGGATTCATGTAGCCCGTCCTAAGTAATTGGGAAAAGGATTGGTTGTTGTTGTTGTTGTAATATTATAAAACCCACCTTGCTTGATAGAGTTCAAATGATATCTTCATAAGATGATGTTTGGAGGGAATTGAGGCTTGGCTAGAAAGAGAATGCCTGGTACTGGAATGGTAATATAGAGGTTGTGATTAAAAAAAAAAAAAAGAACGAGGAGACTATGCAATGTGGCACCTTTGATCGAAACTAAGTATGCATCGATTGAGATGCTTAATTCGTGTCCATTAAAATTAATTTTAAAGAGATCAGGTGTGAATTTGAATGGGTTAAAGATGGCATAAGGGGAAAAGGGATGAAAATATGCTGTTTGAATATTTAGTGCTTAACAAAAAGCTCCGTAGTGCAAATTCAATCTTGATTGTCAATATAATATCAATTTTCCTTTATCGCTTGTGTTCAAATCAAGCTCTGTTGCTTCATGAATATGGAAAAATTAATCTTTCGTAACTTTGCTCTGAGTGACGAACTTTCCAGAAAGGTTTTTTGGTCAGTCTATGCTTGCAAATATTTAGCTTGAAATTATCTGGTTAGAGGATTGATGCTAGTCAACTTTCTTGGATTTAACATGTGTAATGCTGATAGTTCTAGGCGATTTCTGGGTTGTTAAAACTTAGAGTATAAAATTTGTGCTTTGAACTGTTTATTTGAGTTTTTGGTGTGTGAGACCCTAAACAATGTTATCAAAAATGTTGAAAGAGTGGTTGTGATTTCAAATGTATGACATTAGTTCAAAGTTAGGAAGAATGATATTGTCCACGTTGATATAGCAGGGAAGGATGTAATAAATGTGGTTTGAATGAGGCTATGACTTTGGATAGTGCAAGATGGAAAAATAGGATTCATGCAGCCGAACCCAAGTAGTTGGGGAAAGATTTTGTTGACTACATGAGTTCGGAGCACTTTTACGAAGGCTCATATTGGATGGATAAAAGGAATTAGTTACTTGGATCTGAAACTATTATTAGCTTACTGGGAATATATTCGCTAATCCTTAGAGGGGTCAATTTCATTTTTGTATGGGGATTTCTGTTCTGGTTATTCAACAATCACCAATGATTGAGCATTAGCTTGCTGGGAATATATTATGGTTTGTCTTAATTGTTGAAATATAAGATGACTGAGAAGAGTGGTGATTAACTAATGATTGGTTTGGTCAAAAGGAAGAGTGAGCTGATAATTTTATCTCAATGGATAATCAAAATTAGCGCAATGTTGAAGCATTAGCTCACCGGGAAGCATTTGTGGGTTGTTGATGATTCCTCCATGATTTGGTTGGAAAGGGGAATGAAAAGACAGATGGGGCCTTTCCATCTGGCCCCATTATTCCTTCCACCCAAAAGTGGGAGGAAAAGAGGAGGAAGTCCCCCCTCTATTCACATATTGTGTCCCTCTAAAGAGAAGGGGAAATTTTTCGCCTATAATAATAATATCCTATTTAAGAATACATACCCGTCCCATATTTCTTTCTCAAACCACACTAAAAGAGTGAAAACCTCCTTCCTTTCTTTAGGGACCTCTTCTATGCCTTCCATCTTTCCTTCTTCCTGTTTTTCATCCCTCATACCATCATACCAATCGAAGCATGAAAGAGGATATGGTTTTTGATAGAGCTAAGGAAAAAGTACTTGTGTTATCTACTCAATAGTTCGAACTGGGGCTTTGTGAATTGAGTTGTAACCTGTTGAATCAGACAGAATGGTAGGACTGTTTCTGTCAATGTGAAATTTTGGCATATAAAGCTCATACAGGAACATGGCAAACAGCATGATTCAAAAAACTGTATGCTGTCAGTTAGAATCTGATGTAACAGGGACTTCTCATGACAACCTAAATTATTGGGGCATATCTTCTTGATTTTTTTTCCTGATATGAAGTTGAGTTAAAAGAAACTAATTTCTCTCTTCTGGTAGGATAAGTAAAAGGTTACTAAAGCGTGATGCAATTTTTATCCTAGATTTGGTCATAATATTATCAAGTCAGATTTTGACGCATGACAAGTGACACATCCTAGTATATGTGCTTCATGCTGAGTGTAAATGTATAAAGGAATGTCATTGAATATAGGATAGAAGCCTAAAATTGATAGTTTGTCATCATTGCTAATATTATACTTTTATTTATTACCCCTTTTCTCTTCCTATATTCTACAATCGTTATTGTTACTGTGCCTCATGCTCTTGATAAGCTCATTACTTTATTGCCTATTATATTGGGAGTGGGTGGGGGAGGGGGATCAGTGGTAGTTTATCTTTAAATTAATGATAAATGAGTGCTGAAGCTGCCTAGTTTCTTATACTATAAAAAAAGAATTATTGAAATAATCATTGATATGTAACATGCTGATGATTTCTACATTTGTAGGGCACTGAAGGAAGAAAAATATTCTGCTCGCAGAGCTATCCTGCCCTTAATTCAAGCTGAAGAGGATGAAAGGTAAACTAACACTCATTTTCAGTAGTCCTGCTCCTCCCTCACTTTCTCTAATTTGCTTACGTTCGTGTAAAAACTAAACATTTCCTTCTTCTTCATTAGATTTGTCAAAGAATGGAAGAAGTATCTTGAGGAAGAGGCTAGAATAATGAAGGACGTGCCGGGTTGGAAAGTTGGTGAAAATGTTTACCACTCTGGAAGATGGATGCCTCCTGCAACCGGTGAACTACGTCCTGAGGTCTGGTAGGACATCGGTGGGTGTTTTTTGTCACTTCTTTTGGGGTGCATTTTAATTGTCAGGAGCTGGTGTTCCTCTCCAGGCTTCGTACCTTCATCGGGCTTGTCTTTCTTCTAGGGGAATAAGCATGTACTGAAGGATCTCTTTACATGCATTAAAGTTGTTTTAACAGTTTCTTGTTTTACTAGTTATATCAAAGTTTGGGACTTTGTGAGTTCCACCGTTTGTTTGTTGGAGATGCGACTACTGGATGAACCTTGCTGTAGGATATTAGTGGTGTCTCTGTTTTATGTTGCTTCACTTTCTAGGCTTATCGAATCATGCAAGTGCATTTGATGAAAATGTGATAAGCTTCATCTATTGTATGGGGATCTGAGGATTTCTGTTTCTGTGGATCTCTTTTTTATTTTATGAATTTTTGTTTTTTTCCCCGAACTGTTATGCAATATTATATATATGTGTGAACAAATTTAAAAGGTCATAGGCCCAAGCAGCCCAACAACCAGGCAGCCTGGATTAAGTACAACTGAGAGGAAATAACAGCCCGTTACAAACATTATCCAACCAAGGCATATAGCCCGCTCATGTGCCAAATTAGTCAATGTAGACCACAAAGTCACCATTGTGGGTGCTCAAAATAGCCGTTGCTCACTGATACAGTGGGAAAATGATATGCTTCAAGAATTTTCGTTTATTTGACATTTTATTTGGCTGTTTTGTGTGTTTTAAAAATAATTTTTTTAATATAGGAAGAGATTTTAATATAAAAAAAGAAAAAATAAAAAATAAAACTTATGATTATGGAATCCAAACCCTTAGGAGACTTTTTCGATTAAATTTTTAAATAATGAAAATTAAAAGTTTCAATTTTTTTATCACGAAGGAATAACTTTTTTTCTTGTGAATAAGAATCTTAATTTACATAATTCACTTAAAATTTTTTATAATTGTATTTTGATTTGATATTTTCTAATTAAGGTTAAATTTGAAAAAATATCCACCCGTAATTGAAACATATTGAGTGTGCATAAGAGGATATATATATATAATATATATATATATACTTGTATATATAATAAATAAATAAATAAGGAGAAAAAAAAAATAGAGATAGAGAGAGAAACCTAGTGTAATTGTTTGTTCTTTCTTTTTCTTCAATTGAGAATTTGTTTAGTTTGATAAAATAGGAAATACAAATGCATAAAAAAATAAAATATAATATGTATTAAAATAGAGGATATTAATGTCTTTTTAGTTATCGCCGCATCTAATTCAAGATAAACTCTTCAATTCGAAATGTGTAAGCACTGCTCCAATAGCAGTTAGCAATGGAATCCATGAATCTTATTAAAGGGTTAAAGCATTCCATTTCAAGTGACCGTGTTTGTAAATTTGTTTGAAAGTATAACTGATTAAGGTCCCTTTGGTAAGCATTTTTTTGGCTTTGTTAGTGTACCTTAGGAAAGTAAAAGTACAAAACATATTTAGTCATATTTGTTGTCATTTGAATAGTGCCGAAATACTTCCGAAGAAAGTTAAAAACGGAATAAAAAAATTAATTTTTATTTTCAAACTTACCACACTTTTTACCAAATATATTTTTATGTTTTTACTTCAAAAAATCTTGTAATAAATAAACGTTACCAAACAAGTTTTAGAATAAAGTCGAACACTTTCTGGTCAGAGCAAAAGCACAAGTGTTGCTTATTACCTATTAATTAGGTAATACTGATTCTATTACTTGTGAATAATTTACTATTAGACCAAGTTTGGTGTGATTTGATACCCGTCTTAGTCGACAATTTTAAATTATGAAGAGTTAGAGATACTCAAGACCTATAATTTGAAGCCATGAAGACGTTTCTTGTTAAAAAATTTGGTTCGTTTCTATACAAACAGGGGATTTGCAAAAGCATATATATATATATTTATGTGTGTGTGTGCGCTTCTATATCATCGTTCGCACTATCAATTACGATTGAACTTAAAAAATTGCGTATCAACGTATACGACTATACAGCTAACCATGCTCTATACTTAGCAAACTTGAGCTTAAATAAGAAAATTTTAGCTTTAGGTCAAGCTCTTGTTTAATCCATCTTATCGTAACTGAACTTAGACAACCCAATACTCTCTCCTCAGTCCAAGCACAATCCGTCATAATCCTTGTTCAATACTGATACAAAAAAGATGAACTTCCTCTTGATACTATTCTTTCTTTCATGACTCTCTCTCTCTCCTCTTGTTCCTCTCTCTCTCATTCCTAATTTTGTTTTTCCTCAACTACAGGTCTCAAACAAATTTGATCATACTTTAAATTTTTTTCTTCTCCATGCATAAAATCAAATTTACATTAAATAATATCCGGATGGAAAATGCCCTATTTCTTGGTAGAAATTGAGAAAATTTAGAGGATAAGTAAAGAATGGAAGTGTAAGAAACACAAAAGAAACAAAACCCTCATCATCCTATGGTCTGCATTTGAACGTATATGGAAATGAATGGATAACTTTGAAGGCAAAGATGAAAAGGTTTACAATATGGGATTTGACGCTTCATGAGGCACCAAGACTCAAGTCTTTTTCAACTAAACTAACTCTTTATAGTTGATTCCGTGTTAATTTTTTTAAATAAGTAAGTTTTAAGTCTTATCAAGAGCAGTTTTAAAAGTGATGAGATTGTGCAATCTTAAGTGGCAAAAAAATGTTGTCCACATTTTCAGTCGGGCTAATATGATTTTTTTTCAGCCATTCAACCTGGCACAACTCCTCGATAATAAGAAAATGACTTCTAAGTCGAGTGAGTGATTTGTTTGACGATTTGACATATAAGTTTTGATTGGTTAAGTATATAAAATTTAAGAAAGTGAGACTCTCTATTTTATTATATATTTAGTAAAAATGACAAATCAAAAACTATAAATTGAGCAATTTGAATCCAAGTATCACTAGTCTTGATAAAATCATTAAACTCATTGAAGGGAGGTGCATCCAAGTTCATCATACTTTTGAGAAAAACAACATGATCAACCCAAACTTTAAACTCATAATGGTAGATCTTTAAGGTCACAATAAACAATCTTGTTTTATTCATAGATTCTGATCTCATTCGAAATGTAATAGGTCAAGGCCAACCATACACTTTGTAATATTTAGCTAAACCATTAGTGAAATAAATGCCGTCTTCTGACACTGCCCAGTAACACTTTAAACTTTTTTTACATCTGTTGTTGTTAACGTCAAAAGCATCGAAACTTAGCTCCTTTTGGCCCCATTTAACGTGGCAAAAGAAGAGAGTTGTCCTAAAAAAATTGACCTTGAATTGCCAATGGAACACGCCCTCCGGAGAAAGGGTGTGCTCACCTAGATCGTCGTCCTTTGATTTGCAATGAACCATCAACTGGGGAGTCGCATTTTTACCAAAGCGGTCGTAGATGTAAACGTCGTATTGTTCATTAAACCCCAAATTATCCAAATTGTCTGCTGATGCTGATCCAATAATCATGTAAAATGATAGGACAATAATAGCAAAGGAGCAGAATGAAGTGAAATTCATCATCTTCATCTTGTGAAAAAAATGTTGCTTAATATATACTTATGTTCGTTCTTCACTCCTCGGACCGACCTCTATATATATATATAGCTAGCTAGAAAACTATTGCGTAAGTCGTTTAAGAGCCAAATATTCTTCCATTTTTAACAAATCATTATTCAATAAATATAAATATATCATTCAATACTTGTTTCCTTAAGAAAGTTAGAATCATTTGTAATAAGGAAACAAATTAATAAAGCTTTTTCTTTTTCTTTTTCTTCACGTTCTCTCTTTTGGTTAACACGCTCAAAGAATCTGTTTCTTTCTCTCTCTTAGTTCATTCTCACTCTGTCTCTTTCTCTGTAATAGTTAACCATTTATCTTTCGATCAAAGAGTCTCTCCACGTGCATTCTATCATTAGTTTCTCTCTCTCTATACCATCAATCTGGTTATCAAATATAGGTGAGGTTTTGTTTTCTTGAAGGTTTGATTTTCTCTAAGCTATGAATCAAAAGATCCTTAGACAGATGGAGTCGTTTCTATTATCTCTTGATGATGAAAAAATTACAATGGATATGAAGGAGGGGTGGAATGGTGTTTTAATTGTCTTATTGGGAAATTACTGTCTAAGAATGTTATCATGGCTTGCATAATACCATGAGTAAGATTTGGGCTAACTAAGAGAGAGAAAGAGATAGATTGACCGAGAGTGTTAACTAAGAGAGAAGGTAGAGAGAATAGATAGAAAAATGTTTGATTTGTTTCCTTATTACAAATAATTCTTTCTTAAATTATTATTTCTCCTAAATTTCTAAAAATAAAAATAATATAATTTATAAGTGCAATAGCATTATTCATTGTGATATCTGGTCATGTTACTTATTAATATAGGCTGGATTTGGATAGGCATACCACAAAATCTTAGTCCCTTGATTTTTTTAGTATTATTTTTAATTATGAACAGCCAGTAAATAAGTTAATGCTTTGTGAGCTAGTAAGTGCTTATGAGATGTTTAATACTATTATATATAAAGGAAAACACCACAGGAGTGTGTGTATATTACTCTTTCTGTCCCATAGTAAATGTCAATATATGATATTAGAGACTTTTAAGGAGACATGCAATGTATCGTCTCCTTTTAAAATTATTAATTTAACCTTTTAAATATAAATATATAATATATTATTAAATTTAAATTTTTTTAAGAACATACAGGTAATGATGAAAATATAGTATTATTTTGATTTGTACACTATATATATTATATATTGAAATTTACCTTTATAAAAAAAATAATAATAAATAAGAAGAAAAACATCAATATGAATGGCCCATTTACGTAAATTTAACTGCTGTAAAGTCAAAGGACAGGAAAAAAGGGGAAAAAAAAATTGGTTTTAGGTAGGGGTGGTAAAATGGGTCAGGAACCATCAACCTACCTATTTTCACCCGCCTTTTAATGATTATAAATGAACCATATTTAATTTAAGGATCAAGATAGGTTGAATAATTTTTAACCACTTAATTTGAGGGTCAAGCCATATTTAACTCATCTTGACCCTCAAATTAAGTGGTTAAAAATTACTCAACCTATCTTGATCTTAAATATGGTTCATTTATAATCATTAAAAGACGGGCAAAAATAGGTAGGTTGATGGTTCCTGACCCATTTTACCACCCCCTACCTAAAACCAATTTTTTTTCCCCTTTTTTTCCTGTTCTTTGACTTTACAGCAGTTATATTTCACCCATCACCTAATAAACACAAAAACATATATCTATTCCTGCACTCAACTCATTTCTCTCTCTAAAATTCTCTCTCTCACAATCCTCTCTTTTTAAATTTGTCTCTTATCAATCTTTTCTTTTTAAGTTTCTTTCTCTATAAACTTTTTCTAAAAAAAATAAATAATTAAAAAATACTTTTAAAAATAAAAATAATTAAAAAATTAAAAATTCATTTTTTTAAAAAAAATAAATTAATAAAAAATTACTATTATTGTGTTGAATGGCCCATTCCCACCTTCCTTTAATTTACTTTCATTATTATATTTTTTACTTTATTTTAAAAAATAAAAAATAAACATTTATTTACTTTCATTTTATATCTTTCATTTTATACATTTGTTCGTCTTCCCATGGAACCCCATGACTCTCTCTTTCTCTCTCTAAATCTCTCTCTCTATCTCTACTTGTGAAATGCAACTCACCTGAGCTGCTTATTCACACATCAGTTTTGATTCTCTCTGCTCGCGAACTGTTACTGTGAAGAAGACGAGTTTCATCTCATATCTCAGATCTCTCAATTTATCTGTGATTATTCATCGAAATCGATTTTCGGATCCGATCGCGCGCTCTCTCATCATCGTCATCATCATCATCACTATCACCGGTTGATTTCGTTCTGTGTATTGAAATTTGATGCTCTGTAGAAACTACAATCTCATAAATTATATATATATATGTATAGAGAGATGTTGGATCTTAATGCTGATACAATCTCTGTTGATTCAACTTGCGGCGATGAAAGTGAGACGACTAATCTTAATTTGTTGTACTTCTACCTCTCAAAATAAATGCATATTACTTCCAAAATTAAGTTTTATTTTATTTTTAAAATAATTAAATTGTGTTTTTTTTAAAGACATACGTGATTAATAATCAAATATATAATATATATTAAATTATGTTAATATTTAATAAAAAAAATTAAAAATAAAAAATAATAATTAATAGATATATAGATCATAATCTTGATTCATATTAAGTCGTTTATTTTAACCCGCCCATTTATTACCCTATATGTATTGTTATTGAATAGAGTTTTACTATATTGTGGTTTTTGTCGTGATCTAGGTAGGTCTACTATGACTTTAACTGCTGAGGTGGCATTCAAAGTGCTTTGCCACACACTTTTACCGGAAAGAAGAAACATCGTTGTTTTATTCATAATAGTAAAACTTTTAGATGAACAGTACAAACAATTCATAAGCCGACAATGCATATAACCGAAACATAATGTTGTAAGCAAGAATAGAAAGATTCACTGGATTTTGAAGGAGGCACAATTAATTTCTTTTGAAAACCACTTAAATTTTTAAAAACTTGAGGGTGTCAACTTTAATTTTCCTATACAAAAATCGTTAATAAAAATAAATAAGTACCATATATAAATAGAGTTGGCCCTCTCAAAATTTTCTTTTATTTTTATTTCCCTTTTAATTAACTTTTGAAGGAATAAAATTTACTTTTCTTTGCTATTATGTCAATGCAATTATGATATTTTCTTTTAAGATGAAAAATAAACAAGTAATATTAAATTTTATAAATAAAATAAAATAATTGTAACGAGTTTTCTTTTAATGATTTTTTCAGTCCAAAAATAAATGTCCACCTTTCATATTTAGCTGTCCCAATTAAAAAATTATTGCACTATATTTTATAATATATATATTTTATTTTGTATTGAACTTATAAATTTTTTTTTAATGTAAACTATCATCACAATCACATCATTGTGGATTGGCCCCACAACATGAGTGTGGTCCGAAAGCAATAGTTCAATGACTTATCTCCTCAACCCCTATCAACACCGCTTTGTCCTTCTGAAAGAATTTGATAATTCATTAATTACCGATACAATAAAAATATATATATTAAATGCAACATCTTAAAAAGTTAGATTTTCAAAAAGTGACACTTAAAATGGGCTGCTTAAAAGTTAGATTTTCAAAAAGTGGCACTTAAAATGGGCCGTTTGTGGTATATATTGTTAAGAGCATATCTGTTAATGATTTTGGGAAAAAAAATGTTGAAAAGAACAGTTCATTGACGGTGTCGAAGATTGTTTTTCTTCTTTCTTTTTAATTCATAACAAATTATATATAAATATATATACACTAACATGTTGTATCAAGAATAAAGTTTCATTAAACTAGAAGGGCCACAAGTGATTTCTCTTACCAACTGCCTTACATGTGATCCGGTGGTATCTTGTAATGGGTGGACGCTTACCTATTTATCCAAACGGTTAAGTTATTGAGTAGTGTTATATAGCCACTTATTTATATTCATTTCACTTCTCATCCGATTCGACATGGAACAAATATTCTTTGTAACATATCTCCTTTACCTCCCAAAGTGGGTAGTAAGAGTTCTAATCTCCAAAACAGCAAATTAGGTGTCTGTGCACGTTTTAACTAGCATGGTGCGCCAATAATGCAAAATAAATAGAATTAAGTTGGTTTTTTTTTTTTTTTTTTTTTTTTTTTTTTTTTTTTTTTTTTTTTTTTTTAATATCCAATCATATAATTGACATAACAACAACATGATCTACCCAATCTTTCATAATGGTAGAATTTTTAGATGGACAGTACAAACACTTCATAAGAATTTACCGGGGAAAAAAAAAAATCATAAGCCAACATGCAATAGATATACCAGTTGCATTCTTGTTTTATTGATAAATTCTGATCTGATTCAAAATGTAATATGGTCAAGGCCAACTATACATTTTGTAATAAAATTCTGAACCATTGCTGAAATAAACGCCATCTTCTTGCACCGACCACAAGCACTTAAAATTTGCTTTACATTTGTTGTGACTAACGTCAAAAACATCGAAACTTAGTTCCTTTTTGCCCCATTTAACGTTACAAAAGAAGAGGGTAGTCCTTATAATATTGACCCTGAAATGCCAATTGAAATCATCACCCCGAGAAAGGGTATGCTCGCCTAGATCGTCATCCTTCGATTTGCAGTGAATGATCAACTTGGGAGTCGCATTTATACTAAAGTTGTCCTGGACATGAACTTCATATCTTTCCAATAACCCAACACTGTCTGGTGATGTTGATACAGTAATCATGTAAAATGCTAGGACAAGAATAGCAAATGAGAAGAATGAAGTGAAATTCATCTTCGTCTTTTGAAATAATTATGTTTCTTCTTCACTCCTGAGAGCCATAAAGACAGGAATCTATCTATATATAGGTAAAAATCTTTCACACAAGTCACTGGATGGTCCACTGCTAACATATTCTATTCAATATATATATATATATATATATATATATAAAATGCTAGGACAAGAATAGCAAATGAGAAGAATGAAGTGAAATTCATCTTCATCTTTTGAAATAGTTATGTTTCTTCTTCACTCCTGAGAGCCATAAAGACAGGAATCTATCTATATATAGGTAAAAATCTTTCACACAAGTCACTGGATGGTCCACTGCTAACATATTCTATTCAATATATATATATATATATATATGCATATATTGAATAAGTTGCAGCATCTGCTTGGAAGAATAATCTTTGTAGGCTTCAGATTTTTTCTTTTCTTTTCCTTTCCTATTTAATTACTTAACCTTTTGAAGGATGAAAATTTTATTTTCTTTGCTATTATATATGTAGCTTGAGGTGTATTGTTTTAAGTTCAACTTCTTAAAGTTAGTGTAAGGTGTTGGGCTAAGTCCCGCAACGAGTGCAACCCTTGTGTTTATTTGTCATCGTTGAGTTTTGTCGGTGATAAGTCGGAGGAGGTGAGAATGACGTCAAGTCATCATGCCCCTTATGCCCTGGGCGATAGTGCTACAATGGTCGGGACAAAGGGTCGCGATCCCGCGAGAGCAAGCTCACTCCATAGAGTAGTTGAACTCGTGTTTATTCATGTGGATTTCATTCCTTTATACCTGCTAGTATTAATAAAAACCATAGCATTCAATACAAACAATTGATAAGCACAACACTTGCATGTACCATAATGTTTATTCATAGATTTTGATCAAACATAGCATTGAATACAAACAATTCGCTAGCACGTACGAAACTTGCATATATCATAAACATTCTTGTTTTATTCATAGATTGTGATCTCATTCAAAATGTAAGAGTCAAGGCCAGTTAAGCTCTTTCAAATAGTTATGATTATCATTGCTGAAATAAACGCCCCCTTCTGACACCGACCAGTAGCAAGTTGAAGTAGCAGCACATCTTTCGCTGATGTGATCAACGTCGAAAGCATTGAAGCTCAGCTCCTTTTGTTCCCATTTCAGGTAGCAAAAGAAGAGAGTATTCCTCAGAAAATTGATCCTGAAATGCCAATGGAAATTATCGCCCTGAGAAAGGGTATGCTCACCCAGATCATTGTCCCCAGACTGGCAATGAACGAACAAGGGAGCAGCATTGCCACCAAAGTTGTCGATGATGTAAACATCGTATGGTTCAAAAATCCCAATATCTTCTGCTGATCCAGTGATCGCGCAAAATGTTAGAACAAGAATAGCAAATGAGCAGAATGAAGTGAAATTCATCTTCATCTTCTGTAAATATATATATATATATATATATATATATATATATGTTGCCTAAGATGCTAATGTTTCTTCTTCACTCCCATATATAGCTAGAAAACCTTCATAGAGGTCATTTAAGAGTGAAAGATTTTCCAACTGTGGATGGTGCTTGTATGGTATAATCATCAGTAATGGGATGAACTATTCTTCCATTTTTAACAAATCATTATCTAATATACATGCATGCAATAATATTGCATTTTTTCCTTTCCTTTTTACTTTTACTTTTGAAGAATTGTGATTTTCTTTCTTTGCTATCATGTTAGTAAGATCAATACTTAGTCGCCTCACCACTTACGTAGCATATTGATAAAATGATACGTTTTGATTTTAATTTTAAAATAATAAAAAAAGAAGTCTTAATTTTTTCATTCTTATATTTTAAATTTAAAATGAACCTGTGTTATTATATTGTTATGTGTTATATTGTTATGTTACATGACAGAGAGGCAAACATTGTTCTTATGTTAATGCAATTGTGTAATTTTATTTTAAGCATAAAAATAAGTGATAGGCTCTCGTCAACTGGTGAACTAAATCAAATCAGTTTTTTGATCCGATTTTTCACGGTTGGATCCAATACCAGTAAAAATATGAAACCGTTTATAAACAGTAGTATCTGGTTTGAAGTCCTACATGAACAAATCGAACAAATATAATTGAATGCGCCCTTAGCATAATGGACTCACTGAGCTGAATTATGGGCCTGAACTAGTTGTTGGGCCGAACAACGGTTTTTGCTTCCTCCTCCAAAACCAAGGCAATACAATTTTAATCATAAAACTCGAAGACCACAAAAGGGAATGAAGAGGATTTAAATTTATGGTACAAATCTAATCCACAATTAATATTATGATTTAAAATATTCATTTGCATCCTGCATTGCATTCTTATCAAATTAAGCAGAAGAAAATGGAAGAGCATGAAAGTCACGTTGCCAAAGACCATTTTTGCTGCCAAAAGCACACAAGCACAAATTTGAGTCGACATACATCATTCACCATTTACATCAAACCATATAAAAACATAGCAATCAAAACTTCTGAAGACAAGGTCAAACAGACATAATAAAAGATCCTAAAAGGCTCGAAATAATGGACCTGTCCCGCCTTCCTTATCAGCGTCAGGGATGCTGGAGTAGCAGTACAGGCTGTTGGACATTTCCCAACTCCAGTCTTGCTTCCTTGAGATATGCATTCGGGGCCACCGGTTGATCCGTACATAGTGTTCTCTGATCTTTCCATCTCCCAAAATACTAGTAACTACAGAATAACAGGCCTCATGGCCACCCCAAACCCTGTCACCAGGATCTGCAGTTAGACTCCCATCTGGATGGAAGTAACGGCGCATGGGAGGGCCCGTGCCCTTCCAATAAGGGTCAAGATTTCGCCAATATTCCGGGGCTTCCTGATGAGGAAATGAGGATAGTTTGTCAGATAGTTCAGTTTGGATTTATCACAGAGAGGGTGATCATGCTCGAGCAGACTATAAGATCTTCAATTGCAAAGAAACAAAAATGAGATTCTCAGGTTATACCATGTTTAGAACACAAAATAATTAGAGAAACTAATGAGGAAGTATCAGGAAAATTATTGAACAGTAATGACATGTTCATGTAAGCATTACGAAAACAATTAGTTCAAAAAAATTGAAGCAAGGTAATGCAAACTCAACTCAACAAGAACCATATGCAAACTCACCTCAAAAAAACCATATTCGAACTACTTCTGTTGACACAAAATAATACAGTTTTGCAATTAAGTTGATTAACCATGACTTAGATACTCAAAATAGTCGCCAATAGTTTGCAATTTATTACATTTATGTCTTAGGTAGCTTATGCATCACACACAAACACAAGAAGAAGTTAAATCCAGGAAATTTAATAGAAAATAGAGGAAATTAGAGCCTAGGCAAAACACTCACATTTTTTGAAGTTATAAATGTTAAAGAAGAATTAAATACTCTTTCACTTATTCAATGTTTCAAATTTTCACTAATTAAATATTCAAAGCTCATGTGAGATTTAGCCTGTTGTATTAAAAACCCGTGTCAATGGCCTAACTTGCTGAAGACAGAAGGTAAAAAGACATATATTATGCACCTGGAACGAAAAGCAGTTACCTGGGTAAAATGAAATTCCCAAGCATGATCACATAGGTCATCCTTCAAGATACGCCTCTATCATCAACAGGTTTTGGAATTGTTATAAAATGAACCACAAGAGCAACTGTGTATGTGAATGAATATGCTGTGTCTTTGTGTGTGTGTGTATAATATAGGGGAGAGAGAAAGATATGGGTTTGTTAATCACTTACACGCTTGCCATCCATAATAGACAATGAATAAGCTGCCAACTTTGACAGTCCCCGAACCAACGACAACCGAGGAATATGTGCTTTCCCAAGCCATAGTTCCTCACACTACAAAAAAAAAAAAAAAGGAAGCAAAATTTACTTAATTGTAGCAAATGACATTAGTGCATTAAGATTACAAAATTGACATGACAATCCTTCACTCTCATAGCAACCAACTATAAGATGTAGGTGCACGATCCTTTTCAGGTTTTCTTTTTCCAGCTTAGAGCAAGTGAACTTTCAACAACCAAAATATCGAATTTGACTGTAATAAAAGTACAAAAAGATGACATGTAGACTCAAAAAAGTAACTCAGATCATAGGGCCACAAAGTTACCATAAAAGAAAATTCATCAGCCAACTTACTTCTTACGGTGCTAACTAATTAAAGCAACACTAGATTAACAGAATTGGAAAATTCCTATATCTTACAATTTCAATGATCCAAGACAAACTGCATTACTGTGTTACTCACTCTCCTATTCCCCTCAATGAACCAGCGTCGAACAAAACACGAGTGTGTGTACACGATGTATATCCAAGCCATGAATCCAAATCAAACATCTCAATCTTAATTTGATAATAGAGAGGAGGGTTCCTACTTCTGAGATAGATGAAATCCCTTTCCCCACCACATCACATTTAATTTAAATTCTATATAGTGTTAAGGAACGGCCAAATGTTCGGATCCTCCCACATCTTTTCACTAAAGCAAGTGGAGGTGAAGCTATATGGATCGATTCAATAAGAGACTTTACTGAAACAAGAGAGGCACCCGGAGTCTGAAATGAATTATTTTTTGCCTCGTAGAGGTTTTCAGATATAGATAATACCATTTGACCAACCTAGCAGTGTTATGTTGAGGTCTTTGCATAATCTGAGTTCTTATGTTTGTGTTCCGAGTAAACTACCAATTACCTTTTCAACTTATACGGCTACCTGTACTTGCTTTCCCCAAATTTTCTTTCTAGAGTGGAGAAAAGGAGCAGTTTTGTGAAGCTGCCTTTTCAGGAGAGAAAGAAAAGATGTTTCAGTCGAGTATGCTATGAAGCGATTCTTGGAATCAATGTTGTCTCACTCAAGTCCATTTAGAGCAGAGAGCTTGTTACCTATGGAGAACCTTTAGGGTGGGAATTACCACTACTTCTTTGTGGCGAAGGAGACCCAAAGTGCCATGAAGTGAGTCTTGAAAGTAGACCCTCTGTATCGAAAGGGTTTTCATGCTATACACCACGTTGAGAAAGACCAACCACCTATGTATTACTCTATGTATAACTTGTAAACTATTTAAATATGCATGACGTGTCTCCATATCCTACACTTAACTTTTGGACCTATTTCAAGCCGTGAAATTTGAAAATGGGTAGTTTTGCAAGTTAGTGGATACTTAACTAACTTGCAAATGTTGCTTGTGTCAGAGTTTTAGACCTAACTAAAAAAAATGAAGAAATCCCTACTTTGTAATCTTATTATTCCAAAAGGAAGAGGCCCTAATTATGATTTTCACAAACCCTAATTATTCCATGTTTTCCTATTATGAAATCAAAAAAGGCTATTATTCGAATTTGTATAGGCCCCAACTTTTTTCAACTCGTAACAAATTCTAATTTCAAATCCTAGTCATTCCAACCAAATTGGAAATGTTAGGGTATAACCCCACCCCACCCCCCCCCCCCCCCCTCCCCGCGGGGCATGTTGTGCAAGAGAAAAGAAAAGGAAGGAACAAATTTGGATTACTGCCCATTGAAGAATTTCTTCTCCTTCTATCTTCGTATTTTTTCAAACTCTAAAGATTTTCACATCTTCATATTGGAACTTTTTAAAGGTCCTTGTGTCATGTCCTCAGATGTTCGACACACATAATTTGTGTCAGCCCACACATATTTTTGGCATGTCTAGCATATGTCAGAATGTATGTATGTTATAAAAAATGGGGGTAAACTACATTTAACCCCCCTTGACTTGTAGCATGTTGCAGTAAAACCCCCCTTTAATTTTATTTTTTTTGCCAAAAAACCCCCCTCCACTAATCGAGGGAGGTTATTTTTAGCCCCCACCAAGTCAAGGGGGTTTTATGCAATATCCCAATTGTGTGAATTTAGCTAAAAGATTCATTTTTTTCTTTTTTTTCTTTTTTTTTTTTTCCTTGAATAATATTTGAACTTATATTTTCTATTACATGCAACACTACACTTTTAATTAAATAAAATAAAATTCATATTTATGAGTGCAACTACATATAAGTTCAAATATTTTATTTTTACTCATATCATATATACCATTATTATATTATTTATTTTATACATTGTGTATATATATAAGTATATGGGATGGACATTTGATTAAACAATTAGATCGACAAAAATGAATTTAAATTACAAAAATAAATTGAATGGCGTAAAATAGTAGGGTTTTCTCTCATTTTGTTTGGTTGAAATGAAAAAAAATAAAAAATAAAAAATAAAAAAAAGAGAATGAAGGGAAAGGATATTACAGGATTTAACTATGCTAAAGATATGCTTAAGAAATAACATTTAGTTACACTCAAAACTATGAATTTTACTTTTATTTTTTTTTTTTATATTTTTCTTTATTTAAAAGTTCATAACCCAAGATTCAATACTTTTATTAAACGAGAGAGAAATCCACCAGGGCAAAAAGAATTGACTGCTGAGCCGTATGAGGTAGGAAACTCTTGAGTCTCGAGTATGGTTCTAACGGAAAGAATTGACCCGCATATTTCGACCAGGGATAAATCAAGAAAAAAAATAAAAAAAGAGTTTTTTTTAGCTAAATTCACACAATTGGTCAACTGCAAGAAACCCACTCATGACTTTTGGTGGGGGTACTTTAGTAAATGTAACCCCTCTAGTTAGGGGACTTTGGCAAAAAAAAAAAAAAAAATATATATATATATATATATATAAGGGGTGTTTACTGCAAAACACTACAAGTCAAGGGGGGTTAAAAGCAGTTTACCCTAAATAAAATAAATTATATATATATATATATATATATATATATATATATATATTGCTTCTACCTTGAAGGCATGTTTCCATATTCAACATCCAGTTCTCAAATTTTAAGGACTGAACTCAGAGAGGTTGCCAAGTGCAAACTTTTACTTAAAACAAATTCCCAAAATGTAGAGAACTCAATTATATAACACAGTAACAAAAATCAACAAAACCCACATAATTATAAATTAAGTTGTTGTAATTTGTAAAGTAAACATCAAATCTCATAATATATTTTCAGAACTAAAGTCACATCATTCAAACCTCTAATTAGGTTTAACCAAATCCCAACATGCAGCTACACAAAAACACAATCACCAAATGCAGCAATCAAAAGCAACAACTACCCAATCGGAATAAACCAAACTCACTACTACACAAAACCCAATTGGCAACCATTTCAGAATCAACCTCTGAAATACCCAATTTTGCATATCGATAATCAATTTCATAGAATACCCAATCTTGACACTCTTTATAACTCCCCTGAGACCTCTAACATGCAAGTAAATGGAACCCAACACCCAATTGTGAATTTAAACACAAAATCCAATTGTGAAATTTTCTCGAACATAGATCGATCAATCACAAACTAAACATGCAAGTAAGTCGAACACAAACCCCAATTGTGAATTTAAAAACAAAACCCAATTGGGAAATTCTCTTGAACACAAACCAATCAATCACAAACTAATTCGAGAAAAGAAGAAATTGAGACCATTCATGAACAAAATTGAAACCATATCAAACCTTGGTGGTCCAGAGCCTATCGCTGGAGGCGACTCCATGCCATCCACGCGAGACAAGGAGCGAAAGTGCCACACTGGCTGCGTCAAGATGGCTCAAAATCATCATCGTGATGTCCGAACCAAACACCACCAAAGGGTCCCGAACAATTTCCTCGCCCTCCTCTGTTTTCCCTTCTTCTTTCTCTCTCCTTGTCTCAATTTCCCTTTTCCTCTTCCCCTCAGGCTCCATTTCGCTTCTTGGTCTTTCTTCGTGAATTTTTTCGTGAAGGCCAAGTGAGTGAATGAATGAATATACAGATATGCGTGTGTATATGAGTGTAGTTGTCGGGTGTTTGGAGTGAGAAAGTTAACAGTTGCTTTGTCTGTTAGCGGATGAGGACGGGTACAGTTTATGTAATCCGGCGGTGCATGCAAATCTTACTCTCGTCTTTTGGGTGTCTTATGGGATTGCGTGTACCGAGTGAGACATCAACAAAGCAGGTGATGTGATTGATGGATTGATCTCCATCAATACGGCTCCATGGTGGTCTTGCGCACAGTGGATCGCATTAAGATTTGTTTGGGATGGCCCATGGGATACGTGGCAAGAGGATAGATGGTCCTAATGTGTGCCATGCAGTGGGCCAAAATATGGAATCTAAGAAAACTTTCCTCCTTACCTATGAGAAAAGGAAAATAGATTTAGGGATTAAATCAAATGGGCCGCCGTACTTACGAATAAAAGTAGTACATATTTGATTATTGGGCAAAAATCAATATAGTTCTAATATCAAAGGTGGATGATTAATACCTTTCGAAAAAAACCAAAGGTGGATGATTAATTGATACATAACTAATTTTTAACAAGTAGCCGAACAATTCCTATTCAAAACACTACCAATCCAATTGGATTTATTTTTTATCAAGGTGATGTAGGGAGGAGTGGAAATGACTGATTTCAAGAAAGCAATGTAACGTACTATACACATCGTGGTATTCAATTATAACAAAGAAAGGACGAGGACTACTACATGTCTCAAATAAATTTTTAAGTATATGTCTTGAATATAGTGGCGACTGATATGGCGCGCTGACATGATGCTTAGTTAATAAAAAATGCACATCATCGTTTAAAACTCTAAAACCCTTACTATTTCACGTAAAGAGCTATTTTCCATCATTTTCGTTTCCGGGTTAAGAAATCAATTTCTTGATCTATTATAGCAGTGGCTAAATTCTATAAAGGAATATGGTAGTGAATTATAGACTATCTTTCTATCTCTAGAAAGCTCCACAACTTTCTCTCATATATGTTGGCAAAGAAAAATCAACAATTGAAGCCTAAGGAAACATGGTCAAATGTGTGGTCAAGATAACCGGACAAAATTCCAGCAGATGTAGTTACTGGAAGCATCCTCTAAGACGGTGAACATAACTATAAAAAGGTAACATCGGTCTCCCATTGAAGACCAGAGGAAACAACACAAAAACTCATTCAAGAGTTGAGAGAAGATCAAGATAGGATTTATAAAATTCCAGTGGGTTTAGCTGGGTATTGGGTGTACTTCTCTTAAAGAGGTGAAAACATCTTTGTGAGTGAGAGAGTGCTCGTGTAAACACCTTGTTATTCATATATTGAATTTGATCTCCTCAAATATTGTGTCTTTCTTGTTTGTCTGTGTTGTCATTTATTCTCACAAGATCTTGAAGGTTTTGTCAACACAAGACGGTGTCTAAATCCCAACAAATTGGTATCAGAGCTTTGGAGGAGGTTGTTGAAAAAAGTACTGTTCATCATAGGATTTTTTTAAAAAATAAAAAATAAAATCTCACAGGTGGCAAGCATGAAGTACGAGGTCGAGAAGTTTAATGGATAAAACAACTTCTCTTTATGGCAACGGAGAATGAAGGATATTCTAGTGTAACAGGGACAGCACAAGTACTACAAGGAAAGACAAAGAAGCCAAAAAAATTGAGCGAAAAAGATTGGCAAGAACTGGACGAGAAAGCAGGCAGTGCCATCCGGCTCAACCTTTCAGATGAGGTCGCATACAACGTACGTGATTGACGAAGAAACGACAGCAAAGATATGGAAGAAACTCAAAAGCTTGTATATGGCGAAATCCCTAACAAATAAGCTATATCTCAATAAACAACTCTATGGGCTTCAGATGGGGAAGGGTTCGAGTTTTTTAAAGCATCTCAATGTCTTTAATGGACTGGTTAGTCATTTATTAAACGTTGAAGTCATTTCTATTAGCTTCATTAACCCCATCTTACGATAGCTTAGTGACAACTTTGTTTTTCGGGAAGGACACTCTGGTGCTGACAGGGGTGACATCGCTCTTCTAGCGAATGAGAAAATAAATAAGCCAAATGGGGAAGAGTCCCAAGAAGAGGAACTGGTTGCCACACCAAATTGATGGAGAAGCAAAGGTAAGGAAAAAGGTTCCAACAGGAACAGGTCCAGATCAAAGTCGCGTACGGAAAAACGCGAGGTGAAATACTACCACTACCAAAAGGAGGGTCATTGTAAGAGAGACTGTCGAAAGCTAAAGAAAGAAATGGAGGAAACAAAAAAAAGACAATAAAGCGACCTTCAGTCTCAACAAGTGTAGATGCCGAGAATCCCGAAAGTGAAGGAGATTTACTAACAGTGTCCTCGGAAATAATGAATTTTGCAGATTCCTGGATTTTAGATTCAGGGTGCTCCTGTCACATGTGTCCAAACAGAGATTGGTTCGATACTTACCAATCATGTAATGGAGGTATTGTTTTGATGGGGAATGATGCCGCATGTAATACCATTGGAAAAGGCACGGTGAAGATCAGGATGTTTGACGATATCGTGAGAACTTTGGGAGATGTCAGACATGTTCCTAACTTGAAGAAAAATTTGATTTCATTGGGCACATTAGACTCTCTCGGGTGTAGTTATTCCATGAAGGAAGAAGCAATGAAAATCAGCAAATGAGCCTTGGTTATCATGAAAGGCCAAAAGGTTAGGAACCTATACAAACTGGTAGGAAACATAGTTATAGGTGGAGCAGCTGTGATAACTGTAGAATCTAGAACAGATGAAACAAATATGTGGCATATAGGTCTTGGGCATATGAATAAGCGAGGCATAATGGAGCTACACAAACAAAACTTTCTGAATGGGATAAAGTCATGCAAATTGGAATGCTACAAATATTGCGTGTACGGGAAGCAGTGTCGAGTTAGATTCAAGATGGGGTCACGCACCAGTAAAGGCATATTAGATTATATGCATTCAGATGTTTGGGGCATCCCAAATTTTTTTTCACAAGGTGGAGCAAGCAGGTATTTTGTGACCTTTATCGATGACTTTTATAGAAAAGTCTGGGTCCACTTCATGAAGCACAAGTCCGCGGTGTTCAATATATTTCAACAGTGGCTTGGGACTTACAACGGAAAAGAGTATCGAGACAGAAAGTTTAAAGAGTTGTGTAGGCGAGAAGGCATTACTCGTCATTATTCTATAACGGGTTCTCCGCAACAAAATGGCGTGGCAGAACGAATGAACAGGACTCTGTTGGAGAAGACAAGGTGCATGAGATTTAAAGGAAGGTTTGCCTAAACCTTTATGGGCCGAAGCCGTAAACACGCGTGCTTCTTGGTTAATCGATCTCCATCAACAGCAATAGAGTGCAAGATCTCGGAGGAAGTTTTGAACGGAAAGCCAGTCAATTATTCCATTCTGAAAATATTTGGGTGTCCAGCTCAGGTTCACGTACAAAGTGGACAACGGTTCAAACTCGATGCAAATTCAAGAAAGTGCATATTTCTTGGATTTGAAGGAAGTGTGAAAGGATATAAGCTTTAGAATCCAGTTGCAAAGAAAAAAGTTATTAGCAGAGATGTTGTATTTGATGAAACATACATGCTAGGTAGCAGGTACCATCAGACAAAGACTAAAATGAAAGAAAGACAAAGGTGGAAGTCCAAAAACCACCTACAAAAAGCAATGACGATCATCAGATTAAAGATTCACAACAACACCAGGTAGAGCCTTGTACCATTGCAAAAGGTAGTGAGAAACGTGTTCACAAGGAACCAGTGAGGTAGGTTTCGAGGATATGGTCTCGTTTGCATTGGTTACCGGTCATGGAGAGCCATTATCCTTCCACGACAAACTTAGCAATAATGACAAAGACAAGTGGGTGGAAGCTATGTCAGAAGAAATTAAATCACTACGGAAGAACTAAACTTGGGAGTTGTTAAAACTTCTAAACGGGAAAAAGGCAATTGGCATTATCCGGAAATAGGAAGCATTATGCGAAAGAGGGATACTAATCACAGTGGTCTCACGACTTAAAATCTCAGTCGCTGCGTATGTTTTCTTTTTTAATAATTAATTATTATTTTTCTGCTAACTTACTTTTAGGTCTTTCATTATATATAATTATTATACTAACCTCCTAACTGAGAAACTTCATAAACCCCCACAATTCCATCTCTTTAAAATTTTATTTTTTACAAAATTTCATATCTAAATGTTTGAAGTTCCAACACTAAAATTTTCTTTTTTACAAAAGTACATATCTAAATGTTTGAAGTTCAAATCTGAATTTTTTCAGATCCGTATTCTTTGTATTCGAAGTATTGCTCTTATTTTTCAGATTAAAAAAATAAAATAAAAAATTTATCATAAAATAAAAAGAAAAAAGTACTATAAATTTTTTTTCAGATTATACTTTTTTTTTTATCTGACTTTTATTTTTTTTTTATTTGAAAAACAACCGAATACTTCGAAACAGAGAATATGGATCTGATAGTACTTTTTTAAATGATTTTTTTATTTTTTTAATCTGAAACTTCCACGGTTCCATCTCACTTTAAAATTTTATTTTTTACAAATTTTCATATCTAAATGTTTGAAGTTCCAACACTAAAATTTTCTTTATACAAAAGTTCATATCTTAATGTTTGAAGTTCAAATCTAAATTTTTTTCAGATTTGTATTATTGGTATTCGAAGTATTGCTCTGATTTTTCAGATTAAAAAAATAAAAATAAAAAATTATCTTAAAATAAAAAATTATTTTTCAGATTTTTTTTTTCAGATTATACTTTTTGTTTTCATCTCATTTTATTTTTTTTATTTGAAAAACAATCGAATACTTAGAAACAAAGAATAGGGATTTGAAAAAAATCAGATAATTTTAGAGAGAGAACCAAATTATAATACTTTTTCACTGGTTTCTGGAGTCTAGTATAGTAATTATATATAATGAGAGACCCAAAAGGAATTTAGTATAAAAATAGTAATTAATTATTGGAATTTTGTAAAAAATAAAATTTTAAAGTGAGATGGAACTGTGGAGATTTAAGTTTCTTAATTAGGAGGCTAGTATAGTAATTATATATAATGAGATACCCAAAAAGAAGTTAGCAGAAAAACTGTAATTAATTA